AAATAGGTATATGATAAAATGTTAAAATGTTAATGGTAGATTCTAGTTAATTGTTGGGTATAAATTGGTATGCACTAAGAAACTCTTTCAAACTTACTGAAGAATGAAAATGTTCATAATGAAATGTTGGGAAAGAACTAAAATTAAAGGCAAAACAGCTCTCACAGAGATAGAATTTCCCAAATAGTGGGATAATTATGATATTTAGGTCCCATGATTAAGGAAAACGAAATGTCCTTATTATAGTACAGCACATTTTCCATGTTATAATGACTTTACTTATATATTCATACTTTTGAAATAAAATCATTTGAGCGTATACATAGCTCAAATAAAATTCAAATTGAATATTTAGTCTTTATACCAAGTAAGGGAGCAAGCAAGAAGTATTTTCTTAAACATTTTTAATATGTGTAGCAGTGAATCACCTTTCTTTCCAGATAGCTAGACTCCTACTCTTGGCTAACAAAGTAGGAAGAATTGTCACCATAACTGAAAAAGCAGCATGCCATAGTGAAAAGAGTATGATTGGATATCATAAGATTTGGGTTTGAAGCTCAACTGTGTCCTAAAATAAAGTATTATTACAAATGTCATTTAAACTCCCGGGTTTATTTTCCATAACAAGAACAATAACACATTAATCTTGATCTACTTCATTGGGTTGTCATGAGAATGAAATGAGAATAGCCTAAGAGAAACTGGAAAGTTCACTTCACACTTAAATTATTAAGTGTTAAGTCTAAGTTCTGACATTGGTAGAAGAGTCAGCCATTAGAAGATGGAAAATGAAGCCCAAGGAAATGGAGTCATCCAAAACTTCACCCGTATGGTATTAATGATGTCAAAGAATATATATGCCAGAATTCTTGTCTCAGTTCTATCACTATCTACTTACATAGCTCAAACAGAAATCTCTAGGGATTTCGGACACAGAGAATCCTCATATCCTTATTCACTCTCACTCATATAAGACAGACTCCTTGTTTATCCAGCTTTGCTGATAAATATTACACATAAGGCAATAGTTCAAGATTAAATATCCAATGAACCATAGCCATTCCATAAGCATTTTCCACTTTCCCCCTCCCTATTTTGAGAAAAGAACTTTGAGTATTAAAATTTACTCACAAATTTCTAGGTCAAACTAACATTTGACTAATAGCCTCTCTGACCTATACCACTATCTTTCTATCCTAAACCCAGGTAGAAGGCAAACAGAGTAATAATCCATTGCAGTCAGAAAGGTGTGTTGCCCAGGAAAACAACCATCACTGTGGACCGGAGCAAGAATGCTGGAGCGAGGGTTAGACTTGAACAGCCATAAATTCTAGGAAATGGAGTTCATTCACTCAGTTCACAGATTCTAAAAACCAGAGAATCAATAGCAGGGGTAAAAAAGGATTAACAGCTCAGGAAAGGAGAGATTAATTAGGTGGTGGTCTATTGGAAACTGAAATTGAAGCAGAAACTATGTAAATTAACTTGTCATTCAGCTGTAAGTTCAACAAGTGGTGCTATTAAACAGCTGAAGAGATAGTAGAGGCCAAAAGTAATTCAAGTATCTGTTGTGCTAATAAACATTGAGTCCAAAGAGTTCTCAGCTTTCATAGGTTGAAATAAAAGGTGGGTGGAGTGGAAGTAATGTGAAGTACTGCAGAACAAGACAAAGAGATTATATAATAGAGATGTAAAGAAAGACAACAAGGAAAATAAGTGAAAAGTGTGTTACCTTTTTCTACCACTACTACTATAATAGAATCCTATTGCTGTAAAGGAAAACAAAAATACACAGATGCATTCCATATAGATTGTTTCTGGTTAGTTAGCTTGTACATAATTTTTATTTTACATTTTTTAAATACCTTTTTCTTCAAAAAACATATATTGCTTTAGAAAAGTAGGAAAAATAGTTACTTCATTGAGAAGCTGTAAAATTTGATTATCTAATTTCTGAAGTTTCATCTCATTCTGAAAATCGCTTTCATGATTAATTTTCTCTGGCTCAGAAGATGGACATACAGATGTAAAAGATGGCAAAACAGTATCTGCTGGTGAACTTGCAAACTGCTCCAAGGGAGCTAACTCATCGATGGGTGCTGTTACCACTGGCATATTATCAGTGATCTATGACATAGAAACAAACCAAAATCTTTTTAATTTACATTCACTTATTAAAACTTGAATCTTTTATATTAGGAAAAAATCAATACTATACCTCATCTTCACTTATATTGAGGGGAGAATCAGAAGAAACTAAATTATCCAAAAGACCTTCTAAGCTCTGCAGGCGTGATGAATTAATTTCTGCCATATTTACCAGTTCACCAAATATGTTCTTACAATCTAGGATTCTAAGCTGTGGTAAAGTCTGGAGAATAATTGCTCTGTACCCTTGGAAAAAAAATCATTCAAAATGAAAACTTAAACATTAAAAAAAAGGAGATTAATTCTAGAATAAACTAAATTTATCAGCTACCAGATACATCACCTGAATGCTAAAATTAGTTCAAGAAAGCCACTAATAAACTTGTAATAAATGCTACTTTGATTTCTCCAGTATGTAATCATTAGACATAAAAGAAATAAAACACTCTCTCCACCCCTTTTTGACCCCTGCTAAAGGTCAAAAAGTTAAAATGTCTATCTCTAAAAAATTTAAAGTTATAAATGCATGAAACCAGTAGTAATTGCATTCTGGGAAGGAAGCTAAACATATCTTTTATTTTTAATATGATTAGTATAAACATAAATAATATACACAAACATAAAGCAGGATGATGTGAATAATGACCAAAGTGCCAGAATTTCCCTAGTGAGGTTTCAAGCATTAGTAAAGCATTCCCCTTTAAATTACATACAACTAATACTAAGACAGGCAATCTATCAAGTATTAAAGAATAATATGTTTCTCTTGTTCGAGTTGGTGTTTGGATATTACAAAAAAAGGAATAAGGTGTTTATTTTATTTTCCTAAGGGTAATTAAATATGAGAAATCTGACAAATTAACAATAATTTGGTGGTTAGGCTAAAAAGAACACTTTAATTCTGCGTGTATGTAATTTTAAAACTAAGTATTTCTAACAAAGACTAATTGAGTGGTTGTAAGCACTCCAAAAGAAAGAAGTCTGGAAAATAAGTATTAGAAATTTTCAGGGAAGGTAAGTTATTTCAGCAGTAAGTTTCCTCTCAATTCTGGAAGGTGACTGTATTGAGAGAAGTATCTAATTTAGGAAAGAAAGTGAAAAGTAAAGATTCAAATTGTAGAAATTAGAGGTTCTTGAAAAACAAATTTGTTAGGGGAAAAAAATCCAACCCAAGAGTTAGCAAAGAAAAATATAAAATTTAGAAATACAGTTTCTTCTAAGAAAAAGGTTTCCTCAGAAAACTCAAACCTGTCCTGATTTGCAGGGAGGCTTTATCATTATATGGTCTTAGGAAAATAATTCTCAAGTACTATATTTTTTTCTGTGAAGCAAAATGATCAAAACAGGTTTCCATGCTGCGAAATGCCTTCTTCTAGTTGCATGTGAAAAACACAATGGAGCTTCTGTAGCCAACTTGTACTCAAGCATATTTTTTTCTCCCTGTAGGCTATTTAGTTTCCTGCAGTGTTCCAGCAGATCTTTAAAATATATGTTCATATTCTATACATTTCTCTTATTGTTTAAGCAATATGAGATAAGTGAGTTCTAGAAAAGCAGTCTAGTCTGCTCTGTCTTTGCTAACTTGATTGATTCTAAATTAGATCAAACAGCATTTCAGCAGCAGCATCTATATAAAGTTTAAGCTTTTTTTAAAAAAATTATTTATTAAAAATGTAATAAATTCACATGGCATAAAATTCAAAAGATACACAGTAAAAAGTTTTTCTAAAATTTCCTGATCTCCATTTACCCAGTTTCTTTTCCTGGAGTTAGCCAATATTATCAGTTTTTTGGTATAGTTTGCTACATGGTTTTTGTACATACTCAGCAAATACATTGTTAGTCTTTTGACATGAATGGTAGCCTATTATATGCAATACTTTTCAATTTGCTTTTCTTTCTCTTAATATATCTTGGAAATAAATGTCCATTAGTAAAGAGAGTTTATATTCTTTTTTTATGGCTGCATATATTATATTAGAATATACCATAATGATATAATTTTGAGGCATTCACTTATCAAATATAAAACTGTTCAAATGGGAGAACTACTGATCCTGTGCTCTTTTAAAGCAATTCTGTGTTCTTTTAAAGTTTTACAGTTCATCCTGTGCTCTTTTAAAGCAATTTTTTAATAGTTTCTCTTAATAAACTAATTTATTTGTAATCATGTTTTCCCAAATACATAATAAAATGCTACAAAGCTTAAGACTTAAATAAAGGGAGGTCATAACACCAATTTCAGAAAATGAAAGAGCTTTGGATATTAACTGTTACAAAAAGTATTAATTGTTCATACCTGGTAGACGACAGACAGGATTATCCTCTCCATCTTTCTCCAAAATAAGATTGGTCAAAAAGTGTAATCCTACCGTACACTGAAGTAAGTGATGAATACTATCTATACAATTACTATGTAGGTCAATATATCTAAGTTTATGCTTAATTCCATGAAGGGGGATCAACCCTGCAATAAGAAAAAAATTCTCTAGATGCCACAGCAGACTTTTTGATAGCTAATTAAAAATAACTGTTACATAAGTTACACTTTAAGAAGCCAAGGAGTAGCATTAATAAGACCTTGCTGTGAATAGCTACATCTAATGAATAGGATATCAGTAAAGTTAATTGTTGTTTTGAAGAAACACAGGTTTAACATCTCTGAGGCCTTAACCCTGAGGTTCCTAGGCTCTGGTTCTCTTCAAAACAAAACAAATCAAAAGAACCTTCCCAGGTCAATGCATGCACTTATATGCAAACAAGCATAAAGCAATGGCTTTAGGCTTGCTCAACATATCACTTTGATTATCAGACATAAGCAAATGCTGTATTCCACTTCAATTTTGTTGGTTTGAATATAAAATAAATACAAATAGCACTCATTTAATTTAGTTCTCTAGGAATATTTCCTGTATGAGCTTATCTGAGCATTTGATAGCAGATATTATTGGTGCCTGGCCCACCTAAGGCTTTAGCTATAGCTGTTGTGGACAAGTGCTATGTACAAAATGGAGGAAGCTTGTTGAGCAAAGGTACAGCCTGGAAATGTGAGCGAATTAACACCTCCAGGGGCTCTCCTCTATCAAAGGGGACTTGTTAGTGGACAAATGCCCCAGTTTTCTTTCTTTCAGAAGGGCTATACTGACATGCACTCTACATTGTTCCTCAGAGGGTACTACATATTTTACAATTTTGCTTAGTTTAGCACTTTTCCTACTCAAAATTACTTACCTTTTTTTCAACTTCTTCAACCTGCCTGGAAGACCCTTTTTTTCTCAATGCCCTTTGGGTAAATTCCACTCATCTTTTTGTGATATATTCAGACAAATCTTTTCTGACCACTCTCTACAAGGTCTGATCGTCCTGTCTTTCTCATAGTACCCAGTATTTCCACTTAATTAACCATCACATTTGTAAGTCCTTGTTCCATGTTCCTGGTTCTTCCTGTTATGTTTTTAATTTTATGGTCTCTTACACTTCAATTTTAGAGTAACCTAGGTCCCCTTCTCTATCTATACACTCTCCAGAATCTATTTTATGGTTACAAATACTATTGTGTGCTTTTAAATGCCAAATCTACAATTCCAACCATGACCCCCTGCCCCCAAACTGCAGATTTTATACATACATATGTTGGAAAGCGTTCTCAAATTTAAGATAGGATCCTTAATTCTCATCCCCTCATCTCTAAACCTGTTCCTCTCCCAATCTGCCCCATGGCACTAAACAGTAACATTGTTCACCTGTCAAACCAGAGAAAATGCATAATTAGTTACCTTTGATTCCTCTTTCCCTCATTTTTATCCCAATCCATCAGCAAGTCCTACAAACTCTATCTACGAAACATATCTATTTACTCCTCTATACTATTTCTACCTCAGTCTAGTATTCATTGTCTCTCTTCCAGCCCAGTGGAATAGCTTCCTGATCTGAAGCTTGACTTCCACTCCCACCCACATAAAATCAACTTTCCACTCAGTAGCCAAAATGATCTTTTAAAAACAATTCTTTCTTACATGGCAAGCTTCATCCTGCCTTAGTCTTTGCATGCTCTCATCATCTAAGTTGCTGTCATTTACTGACGTGTTTATGAACTTACAAATTATCATTTTAAAAGTATCTGTTACAACTTACAGGGTTGCCTCTTTTATTTTCTTCATAGTCTTTATCATTACCTGACACTAAGTTACTAAAATTCACCCTTTTTAGGTGTAGAGTTTGATGTGTTTTAGCAAATATATACAGTTGTAACTACCACTACGACTGAAATATAGAACATTTCCATCACCCCAAAAGTTTCCCTTATGTTCCTACGTAATTAATCTTCTCTCCTCAGCTCCAGCCCCTGGTGACCAATACTTTCTGATTTCTGCCCCTCTAGCTTTGCCTTTGTCAGAATGTCATATAACTGGAATCATACAGTATAGCCTTTTGTGTCTGGCTTCTTTCCCATAGCATAATTCTTTTTAGATTTATCTGTGTTGCTGCATGTATCATTGTTCATTTCTTCTTATTTCCAATTAGTATTGCACTGTATGGATGTACTGCAATTTGTTTATCCATTTACCAGCTAATGGACATATGGGTTGATTACAATTTTTAGAGATTATGAGTAATCACATAAACATGATCATATAAAAAGCTATAATATTAATATTATAGTATATAATCACATGAACATACATGTATAGGTCTTTGTGAAGATATGTTTTAATTTCTCTGGGTAAATACCCAGGAATGGGATCCCATGATTATATGTAAGTATATGTTTACCATCATAAGAAACTGTACCATTTTGAATTCTACTGGCAACGTATATAAGTTTTAGTTCCTCCATAATCTCACCAACACTTTGTCAGTTTTAAAAATTTTAGCTATTCTAGGTGTGAAGTAGTATCTCATTGTAGTCTTAATTTGCATTTCCTTAATTACTAAGGATGATTAACATTTTGTTCTTGTGCTTATTTGCCATTTGTATATTTTCTTTGTGAGGTGTCTGTTCAAATCTTTATTTTCTGGGGCACTGATATGATTTCATTTACTTGTTCTTCTTCCTCACTATAATGTAAGCCCTGTGACTTACCCGTTTATTATTTTTTTCGTCATTATAGAACAGTGTGTGATACAGTGAACTTCAATAAAATATTTGTTGAAAGAATGAACTACCTTATCCAATAGTCACACTTTTCAGATAAGGAAACCACATCCAAAGACTAAAATACCTTGCTCAACATTACACAGCAATGACAGAGCTAGGGTTGAAACTCAAGTCTAATATTTTCATGTCTCTGGGGTAACAAAGATTTAAAAAAATTAAAATAGAGTTGCTACTTCAGCTTAAAGGTACAGACTAGGTCTTTTTTTTTTTTTTTATTTCAGCATATTATGGGAGTACAGATGTTTAGGTTATGTATGTGGCCCTTGCCCCCCCCCGGCCCCCTCCCCGTAGACTAGGTCTTTTTATTTTTTGTATGCTAAGCAGCTGGCATAGGGTAGTGTTTTTCTAGTGGGGGAGAAAAACAAATCAACAAATGAATAAAGTGTTTCAAATACTGATAAAGAATATGAAGATAATTAGAGGAATTTTGCTAGTTTGAACAGATAATTCTAAGAATAGTCATGAAATGTTGTTAAATTTATCACTTGTATCACTTCAATCAACTAAAAAATAGTTAATTCTTAAATCTTCTCAGACATACCAAAGACAAAAAGAAAAAATAACTTCATTTGTTCCTTAATTTACAACAGCCTTTGGAATGCCGCATAACTTCATTGTTGAACGTGGTAGCCACTAACTATATGTGGCTTTTTATATTTAAATTAAAGTGTAACTAAAATTAAATAAAATTACAAATTCAGTCCCCAAGCTGCACTAGCTACATTCCAAGTGCTCAACAGCCACATTTAGCAATCAGCTGGCATACAAGACAGCACAGATATAAAACATTTCACCATTGTAGAAAGTTCTATTGGAACTATTCCACTTTATATAACAGTATATTGATTAAAGATTAAGATTAAAACATTTTTCCCCTAAAGTGGGTCCTTCCCATCTGAGTTTTTCCTGCTACTTTTTTTTTTTTTTACTCAACTGTGGCTTTGGCATCAACAAAATAAAATTATGACAGAAGCATACTTTCTGGATAGTCAGAAACTGGATTACTATTCAGAGATCTCCAACATGAAAGCTAAATCTTTCAGCATTACAGAAAACATAAGCATGTCTACTTACCACTAAGATCACTTATGTGGTTATAAGATAAATTTAGCCTAGTCAGATTGATTAGTTCTTCAAGTCCTAAAATAAAATAAAATGAAATAAAATAAAATAAAAGCCTTTGCAGGATTTAAAGAATTAATTAGAGAGATATGGCATCACAATACTATTTCTTCTTATCTTGAAGAAAATCTAGTTTGGTAACAGTAAAAACAATTTGAAAAAATACTTAGTTTTTAAAAAATTGACACTTTTCTGGAAGAAGACATTTTGTATAATGAGTTTTAGGGTCAGTTTCCAAAATTTTATGCTAATATTAATTCTACTCTTTCAGGAAGAAAAATGGACTTAAATAATCTTCCTTATGCTAAGTATTATATGAAAATCACTTACAAACCTTCTATTCTTGTGATCAAATTGCAGGACAAATTTAAAGTGCGCAGTTTTGTCAGTGTGTTTAGCCCTTCAATTTGGCTTATTTGATTAGATGACAGATCTAAATGTCGTAAATTCCAGATGTGATCAATGGCTTCGATCTTGGAGATGTTATTGCAATGAAGATTGATGGCGTGAAGGGTTGAATCTAAAGATAATTCTGATATGCTACAAAAGAAAATAGATATTATAAAAAAACAAGTAAAAAACAGATTTTAAAAACATGACCAAATAACTAAATAGCATGTAGATAGTAAATGTGCTCTATTCGTTCTAGAATGAAATCCTTCCTATTTGTGGTTGCTTTGAAATGTCTCATACAACACAGTGCTTCTTACCACAAAAACCAGTATCCTGGACCACTTATACCAACAAGAAACCACTCGAGGGAGAGAAGTGGCTGTGGGCATTTCTAGCTTCTATTTTTAAAATCATCAGCATAGAATGAAGGCAGTATCACACAGCAGTCAATAATTGTAAAGGCTCTGGAATTCTGATACTCCAATTCAAATCTGTACTTTACCACTTTTTTGCAGTGTTACTTGAGCAAATGTCTTAACCTTTCTATGCCTCAGTTTCCTTATCTAATTCTTATAATAACTCTTTAGTAGGTATCATAAGGATACTGAAATTTATGGAAATTAAATAATGCCCAAGTTCTTGCCGTTATTATGTTAACAGAGCCCATGTATAAATCCAGATCTTATACTGGAGTTTATAAACTTATCTTCTTCACTGTCTCCAATGGCTATTTAATCCACAATGTAGTTGATTTTCAAAAAACCACTAGTTATTGCTATTTCTAGTGAAAAGTCCTCCCTTGTTGAAAGCTGGAATGCACCTCCCCTAAACAGAACTCATCTCTTCACTCCCTCAATTATTAATACTACCTATAACTGAAACCTCTCCTGAAGATAGCTGTTTCAGGAACACAAATTAGAGTGTACATGATTTAGAGGTGCTGGATGGAGGTAAAGTCAGGAATAGGAACACACAATGTCATGAGCATGTGTTGTAGGTTCTGTACAAGCTATCAGAAAGCTGTAGGAAACCTAAGTCTGGCAGCAGGGAAGCATTTGCAAATTTCAAACCTGCCACCTCTAAAGTGACCCATTGAAGCATTTCCCAGTTATCTAGCTTCTGTCATTTACTGAGCTTTTATTTAGTGCCAGACTTTATGCTATTAATACATGCCTTAATGATAACCATTTATTTTCTGACATTTCTGTTTCTGGAAATTAATATTGTACAGATAATGTAGGATAGCAGAAAAAGCAGACAGTGAAATTAGAAACGGGTTTCAATAGGAACTTAATTGATCACCAACTGCATAAAGTCGGGCAAATTATTTAGATTCTGAGTCTCAGATTCACAACATGTAAAATGAGAAAAACTACTACCTTGCAGAATTGCTGTGAGGATTAGCGATAACGTATACAACATGGACACATAGATGGCATTCAGTAAATGGCAGCAATTACTAAATGTAAATTTTCCTTTGAAAAACATTTTCTTGGGGTCATTTGGCAAATTTTAGATCAGAATTCAGAACAAGATGCTTAAGTATCAGTAGCAGGTTCGCATAGAGGAGGGCACCCTATAAAGGAACAGCATGTGCAAAGGCACAGAAAAGCTTACTATGAAACTGCCTGTAGCTCAATATGGCTAACCTTGGAGTATAATTGGAGAAATGGTAGCAGTCAAGACTAAAGAGACAGAAGAGATAGGCAGAGAACAATCAGTAATTCAGAGCAAATAACCTCACAGGCCATGTACAAGTTTGGGCTGCATGAGACAGGAAAACAGCGAATATAGTATGTTCAGTACTTTTAAAAACTGTATGAATTCATGTATTATAGTGCTCTGTAAGAGAAATTAGTTTGGCGGTAAAGAGAACTGAGGCAAAACCAATGAGGAGCAGCGAATGCTCGCTCCACAGCTGCCAGAGATACTAACTCTGCCACTTGTTTTCAGAGTAGGAGGAGAAGCAGAGGAGAGACGAAAGAACACGAGAAGACCAACAATTAAGGAGCAAGCAAAGGAATAATAACCAGTTAAGAAAGGAAAACCAGGAGAAGGGAGAGTGGTCAGAGACTGGTGAGGAATCAGGTGGCGGAGCAGTTTCAGTGCTAAGCGGAGCCGTGGGCAATGCCAGGCAGAAGACAAGCGCGGGAAGGGATGGATACAGGGCTCATTCACCCTGGCGCTTCGGCAGAGCAGTTTTGGCGGCGTAGGGCTGCCGAAAGCCAGGCTGCGTTAGTGTACGGTCTTGGCTGGCAAAGCAGTTTCGCGCCTCCGCTCCGCTGAGGCCGCCCCCGGCCCCAGGCCTAGGGGTGCGGGGGCCACTCCTGGCTGCAGAGCGCCCTTTACCTCCGCAGGCCTTTGTCCATGAAGCATATATCTCCGCAGCTGCTGACGCCGTCCTCATTTTCAACTTCTGCTTCCACCGCCGCCTCCATGACTCTGGCGACGGGGAGTGCGGTCTTAACCGGCGTCCAGCGCTGGGTCCGAGAGTCCGGAACACGCCTCCCGAGAGCGAGGAAAGGCGGGCCGAGGGGGCGGGGCTAGGACCCTCTCCTCAACCGACAGCCGGGCACTTTCCCGCCCTGACGCTGCCGCAAAGCTAGAAACCTAATCTCCACCAAGGGCTTCCCCCTTTTACGGCATCTGCGGTGCGATTCTTGAGGTTTGCCGTAAAGCGAAGCCTTTTTTCTGAGCGAGTTGGAATTGAGGAATGAGCGGTTTTGTTTTAGTTCTGTATGATCTTTGCATAATAGCCGACTCACTTTTGAAGGCGGTTTCACAGCAATTTGGTTTTATATACCTTTACATAGACTTACATACGTATAAATTGTTCCATTGCCCTTCCTGTTGATTCATTAAACATTTGAGGGATGCCTTGATGTATGTCATTATCTTCCCTGTGCAATGAAGAATAAGATGAAGCCATTCTTGTTCCTAGATGTATTCACAGTCCAATGGAGGAGACAAAGAATTGCCGTACAACATGACGAATGCACAGGAACATCTAAACCAACTGTAGAGTGATATGGGTAGTAGGTAAATTTTCTAAAAGGTAGTGATTGATAACTGAGTAGTCTTACTAGATTAAGGGGAGTTTGGGTAAGGAACGGTGTTACAGGTGGCAAAACAATACTTGCATAAGGTCAAAGAACTACTGGCTAGGTTGTTCCCTATGTCATGGTAATTTTTAAAAATGGAGGCACAAGGTACACCAGTCCCCCCTTAGCTGATAGGGATTCCAAGACTCCACCAGTGGATACCTGAAACTGCGGATAGTACTGAACCCTGTATATACTATGTTATTTCCTACACACATACCTATGACAAAGTTTAATTTATAAATTAGGCACAGTAAGAAACTAACAATAACTAATAAAATAGAACAATGAGGACAATATAATGTAATAATGTGAATGTCATGTGCCTCTCAAAATATCTTCTTGTACTGTACTCACCCTTCTTTTC